ATCGGGTTGCATTCCGGCCGGCTCACATTACAGGAGATTCAGTTTCTCGATCGCGTACGTACTCCCAAACCCCACGAAACCGAGCGCGGGACTGACTTGGTGCTCAGACAATGATCGGCGCCGAGATCCTGTACGTCAACGGCGTCAATATGTACAAGATCGCTCTGCTGTTCTTGTACCTGCGCATCTTCCCCATGCCCGAGGTCCGCAAAGGCGCATGGATATGCGGCAGCTTGACGTCCCTTTGGACCTTTGCCTGCGTTATCGCGGCATCGATCCAATGTCTTCCTCTGAACACGCTGTGGGAGCCTTGGAAGCCGGGAACGTGCATCAATCTGTTCCTGACGCAGTTGTGCATCGCCGTCCCGAGTATTATTGTCGACATAGCGATTCTCTACCTGCCAATTCCTCACGTCCTCAAGTTGCAGATGAATCGGGCCCAGCGCATTCTGGTCTTGTTCACCTTCCTCCTGGGTAGCTACGTCGTTTTCACTAGCATCTACCGGTTCCGAATCTTCTTATTGTACACCAAGGATGACGTTCCATGTAAGTATTATCATCCGTGTACTTTGAAGTCGGCATCCTAACATTGTGAAGATTCTCTCGCTCAAGGTCTGGCATGGAACATCATCGAGATCAGCAGTGGCATTGTTTCGGCCTGTTTGCCAACTTTGGTAAGTCATCGAGTGAGGTGCTATCAAGACCATACTAACAATGGCTCAGGGTCCGATTATTCGGGTACTATGGAAGGGTCTTCTCGAATCTGCTCATCGCAGCGGCCTCGACAAGTATGGTCGATCATCAGCAGCCAAAAAGTCAACAGGAAGGTCAGCGGGCATGACCATTGGTGGTGGACGATCTGGAACAGCCTCACATGCTAGAGCCGCGTCCAAGGACTGGTCGAAGATGCACGAATCGCAGGGAGATAAGCCTGGCCTGAGAGAAGAGGCCAAATACGGTATCGGCCTCAAGACTATGGGCGGCGACGATGCCAGCAGCTCACACAGCTCACGCGGGTCAAACGAGATCGAGCTCATGCCTCAGAGTACTGTCAGCGTTACAGTGAAGAGCCCGGGAAGGTCGACGTTCCCCCAGAACGAACAGCCGCTCACGGCGAGAGAGCATTACCACGGAACGAAGCTGTCGAAGCGCAAGGAGACAGGCTATCCTCATCACGACAACCGAATCTGGCAACATCGTGAAGTCGAGGTTACGACAGAGCCTGTTGAGCCGGAGTCGGTGTTGTCAGAGTCCAACAGGAAGAGCTTCCGGAAGTCGACCGGATTATGAGATGGGACACCCTCTTCAGCTGGTTGGGGACCCAATGAAATACCCTTTGTACAACTTTGTAATAGTAGTCATCATTAATTACGCACAATTATTCAGATATTTAAAGTCTCAAGCTGTCGAAGATTGACTCTCAGCCGTGGGGAAAACAATGCAGCTGATTCTGCTGGTGATGATTCGGTACGCAGAGACGGTTCCCTCGGCCCCCGCCCTTGGGAGGACCTTTCCCATCAGTCGGGATCCTGAGGTGGCCCGCGAAACCGGATTGATATGATCCCTGCTGCCATTCCCGCCCCTCCAGCACCGAACGATTGCGGCCGCCCCTTACCCACGTGCCCAAGACCGGCCCATGCAGGGGAAATCTTTTGACGAGAACAGAGCAAGGGCTGCCCGGCTAGGACTTCCCCAGTCAGTTCTGTCTGGGAATTTTCACTGTGTTTGTCAGACATTTCATAGCAAACCCATGATTCCTTGGCATGTAACCCAGCGTTACAATTGCAACCTCTGCGATCGATCCTTCACGGCTGGAACCAATGTCGATCACCAACAGGCGTTTCTGCGGAAATTGGAATGGGACTCATAGATAACTGCAACTGTTTCGAGACTTATAACAAGGTATCTGGTGCTATGGGAGCTTCATACGCAACGGGCGCTGTACAGGTCCTCCTGAGTCCCTGACTCGCATTTCTCGTGTGTACTTGTCTCGATGACCACTGAGTCTCCTCCCGTGCATCTAAGGTGACACTTCGCACAGATACCGTTGGGCGAGTCGACAGGCTCAATGCAGTTACAGTCTATGCAGCAGCAGACGAACCTATGAGCCAAGGATGTTTCGCTGTGAACGAAACTCATCGTGTGTAATGCTACGCTGTGTTGTGTTGCGGGATTTGTTGGAATGAAGTTTCTTCTCAGTTGAGCTTCATTTTCCACGACTGAGAATCGATCTTGGTTAAATTTATACCATGATAATTGATAGAAGTCGCCGGCGAATCACGCAACAAGGTTGTGTCGGTGAATGACAGCACGAAGCTATTCACAGCTAAAGCCACTGAAACTGATGTGGCTCAGGCTCCTTATGGACAAATCAGACTGAATTCAACATAGTCTATTTTCCGCGCCGATGTATTGTTTACCTATAGGCACCCCTGCACTGCAGAGCCTTACTGGCTGGCCTCCGCTCGCTCAGACTCTTCCCTTGCCTTCTTCAAATTCTCATACTCAGGAAGGTGCAGGACAGCGTAGATGTATGGGAAGGTAAGCAAAATCAACAGAACCCAAATCGCATGTCCCCACAGCCACTGAGTGCGTGCGCCAAGTGCGTACAGACTAGCAAAAAGAGCCGGAGAGAAGGCCCGGATGATGCTGAGCCCGGTCAACGACAGAGCGTTGAGGGTTCCCAGAACCTGAGGACTGGGAGAAACATCGTTCAAGGCCAGCTGGACGCCGGTGAAACTCATAGCCACTCCACTACCGATGGCGAGAAGCATCGGGGCAAACACCCAGAACAAGGTTATCGCAGTCGGGTTGTGGGCGCCGGCTTTGAGGACGAGATTTCCGAGTGGCAACATGAAGAAGAACCACGGGTAGGCGTAGGCACAGACGCGGAGCAAGCCGTTGGTTCCCCAGCGGTGCTGGAGTGGGGGGAAGATGACCAAGAGCCAGAATGCTTGAGCGATGCCGTTCACGGCCATCATCAGGGAGATTTGCACAGAGGTGAAGCCGAGCCCACCGAGGTCGACGCGCGTGTACCAGAACACTGGAACGATGGCGGTGTACGCGAAGGCAAGAAGCATGACATGGCCGTATGTGTAGAGCACGATGCCGACGCCGGGAGACTTCACGATTTCCAAGATCGAACGGTTATCCTTCGTGGGTCCTCCATGGCCATCACCATCCGCATGATGCTCTTTCTTCAGAGTCTCCTCAAGGAAAAGAAAGCTTGTCAGAGCCGCCGTCAGACCGATGAAACCGACGACGAAGGTGGAAAGGGAATACGGGTAGTCGAGGAAGAACTGGACGTCGCCGAATACACGGGGGTACTGTTGCGCCGGGTTGGCCAAAGCACCACCCAAAAGCGGACCGCAGACAATGCCGCCCAGGTTGCCGCTGAAGGCAAACCAGCTGAAGGCCCTCGCCTGCGTCTTCGGGGTGCTGTGCTCTGCAATCATTGTCCTGATGGTTACAACCGTTCCGGCAAAGACACCCGCTAGGCACCGGAACAGGATCATCTGCCAAATGGTCTTGGCCATGCCAAAGGTGGAGGTCGCAAAGGCAACACCGACGAGTGAGTAAACGAGCACCGGCTTGCGGCCGACTCGGTCCGAGAGTTTGCCCCAGAAGATCATGACAACTGCCTGCGTCAGGGAGAACAGCGACTCAATGAGACCAGAGTAGAACCCGGCGTCCGTGTCCGCGAGGTTGCCGTTCTCCTGGACCATCTGGTTGATGTACGGAAAGATGGCGAAGAAGGCCATGGGCTCAACCATTCGGGCGTAGCAAAGCCAAATAATTTGCCATACCGGCAGCGGCTTATCGTCCTCATCGGCCCCATCCTGGTTCGGCTCCGGTTCATGGAGGGTGGTGGCTTGTGAGATGTCGGGGTCGGCGGTCGGAGCGATATCCTTGGTCGCCAGAAGCGGTGTCACCTCGGTCGCGTCGACGGTCCCGTTCGACGCGTTGCCGCCGTTTTGGTTTCTTTGGTCCGGCGCCATTGTGTCGTATTGATGCCCGACACTTGAGCCTGTTGCAATCAAGTGGTTTTGTCGTCGATACTGACGGTCGGTGTCACCTCCGGAGGTGTTTTTGAGACAATATGAGCCCGAGGACAAAGGTGAGACGAATTTCACAAAGGGCGCGTCTTCGGCGTTAAGTGTGACCGTCAGGCAAAAGGTCTACGAATCCAGCTTCCCGTTCAGGCTAGGCGCGCTCGCTGTTCTGGGCCCTTATTCCCCCAATTAATCTCCGCCGACGGATCCGAACTCGGGGATGTTGCTTGGAGCCCTTGCTGGACACGGGTACAGTAGGTAGGTGGCAGCTTTGGTGTGAGAATGCAGAAATGCGACGCGGTCAAAAGCCATTTGGAATTGAGTTTTTTTGAAGGTAATAGTTCGTTTTCTCAACAGTGGAGACTGTAAATATTGATAAATGATAAGATGCTTTCTAGGACATTGAGGTGTTTCTCATTGGCCCCTGTCTAACCTGCGGGCTTGTCATCTGCAGGGGTCGAACTCTACAGCAGCAGTTGCAAGCCGTTGCTCACGGTGTCTCAATTGGCGCCGCTGCCGCTGCATCCCTATGGTTTATCTGGCATGATTAAGGCGACGTCAAAACCCTCTTGTCAACGGATAGTATGGGGTTCATCCGTGAGGCACGGTTCAAGAAGGTGTCGGATCAGGAACGGGAGTTCTGGCTAGCTCGTCTCGGCTTGGCGAACTCAGCCCGGCCCGAAACGCTATTTGTCAAAGTCCGTACCTGCGTCTCTTTGTTCTCATGTCGTGGCTTTCCTACTAAAGGACTGACATGTTTCGATTCTTTCCACCGGGTTACGCTCTTTCGAGTTTGGACGCATGACGTATGACAGATCTAGCGGGAGTTCGGGCGGAGGCTCGAGCATACCGCGGCTCCGCTGGCTCAGGTCTAGTACTTAACCATCAGCGCGGTACGTCTCCCCGTTTTTGGCAATGTCTGTTCACTCCCGCGGCGAAGTTCCTACAATGTCTTCTTTGAGGGTCGGTGTGATCGGCGCAACGGGGATGACGGGGTCTCATGCGACCGTGGAGTTGATCAACAGAGGGCACCATGTTGTTGGGGTATCGAGAGACCCTTCAAGGTTGGGGAAGCACGAGCTCTATGAGCCCAGAAGCATCGACCTCGGCAGCTCGGACGTCTTGGACATATCAAAACAACTCTATGGATTGGATGTAGTTGTCAACGCCTATGGGCCCCACAGCCAGCTTGGATCATCTTTTGCTTACAGTAAGACATTCACGAGAAGTCTTGGAACAGCCAACTAATACGTTGTGACAGGGTCGTTTGTTGAAATGACGCGCAAAATATTGCTTGCTGCAAGAGAGGCCCACGTACCATACTTCGTCATGGTCGGGGGAGCTGGTAGTCTGGAGATACCGGATAAGCCTTACATGACGGCTGCCGACGATGCGAGGTTCTTCACAGCGTACGGCAGAGCAATGCTAGCCAGCGAGGCCTACATAATGCACTGCCAAGACTGGGCAGGAGACTTTGCGACAAGGTTACGGACAGCTCGCGATGCGTGGCTTGCAGAACGAGATGGGAAGGGAACCGAGGCGACGAAGAAGGTTCTAGAGGACATGGAGAAGACCATGGCGGATATGAACAGCCAAGGGGTGGACTTCATCACAGGGGCTCGCGCCACGTATATGTTCTTTGACGGCAACACGTCTTTCAAGTGGACATACATAGCTCCTCCACCGCTATATCGGCCTGGGACAAGGACCGGACTGTACACGGTTGAGCTCGACAGGATGCCCCTTCAGCTTCAGAAAGGTGCGGAAAGCGGTGATAGCTTTTCGATATTTGATGGGCGTTTGCAGAGCATCTCGGTTCCAGATATGGCAGTTGCTATTGCAGACGAGGTTGAGCAACAGACTAAGGTTTGGAAGCACTGGTGTCCGTATACATATGGTCTTGATGACAGGCCTGGTCCAACTTATGTCACACTTACATAGTACTACCAGATCGACTTGATACAGAGTGAGATTTCGCCCTATCACAATAGGTCGCTTGATTGGTTTCATTTCATGTATAGTAGCTTTTGAGTCCAACGTGATCGATAGACTACTACTCGTATGATCGATTTGATGGCACCTGCAGCCCATCGGAGCCCATGTCCTCCTTGCCATGTTATGAGAACGTGGTACTTACTGCTTCTGCACTGAAATTGGTTGGTTCGCCACCACCTCGGGTCCTTTCGTGTCATACGCAGGTGCTGTCTCTGCCTCAGGACGATCAGAGTCTGATGTCACACCTGCCGCATTCTGGCTAGCTCCCTCAGTTGCCAGCCTCATCTCAAGATCAGGATGTTTCAGCTTCCATCTCTTCATATACCACGTGCCAAACATCAGGAAAGCCCACATTGCTACTTCGAATACAGTTGCTGCAGGGTAGCCGTGCGGGTATCGAGGCGCCTCGACGGTGGGGAAAGTGAATAGTGGAATCCAAATTTGGTTGCAAAAGCCCAAGGTCATCATGGATGAGATGATTAAACCACGCTCGCCATAGTTCTCTTTCAGGGTGAAGTTAAGCCATGAGTACTGAGAAAGTGTTTGTTAGTCACAGCCTTCATGTTTAGAATCTCGCCCGAGTGACCTACCAGAATCGGAGAGGCCATGCCTGAAAAGCCGCCAAAATAGAATGCGCAGAACTTCAAAATGTCTGGGACGTTCCAGACTGATAGCACTATGCATGAAAACAGCACGAAGCTCTGGGTTCGAAAGTCAGTGGATGCCTTCATAACTGGGCTGTGTCGGTGAGCAACTTACTGCTTGGAAAGTCCAAAGTCCTCTGAGGCTCAAGCAACCTGCCAACGTGGTACCCAGCCAAGACGACAGAGCGCGCAATAGGTCAATGAAAGTTGGCAGGATGTTGACCAACTCAATGGAGTATTTCGCATCCCGAAGCCACAGGGCCATGTAGCCAGTCCAGTAGTGTGCTTGGCATAGGAAACTGCAGGATGTTAGCGATGTCATCTTTCATGCGAAAAGGTAAAGAAGACTGACATGTAGCACGGTACACAGATCCACCACATTGGTCGTGAGAGCGTGTACTTGAAGGTCTTCCAGGTGATGCCCTCCGTCTCCACAGTTGGCATCCTCTTGATTGCTAGGGCGTACTCTTCATCGGTGAAGAACCATCGCTTAGGGGAGATTGGCAGACCAGGCCAGAAGGCGAAGCCTAGGAACGAGATGGGAAGAGTGATGATGCCTTGGACTATGAACAGCCACCGCCAGCCAGCTCTTCCGTAGACTCCATTCAGGTTTCGGTACGCGGCTGCTTGGAGGTATCCAGAGAACATGGAACCCAGTGAGTTGCCCATGAACCACACACCGGCTCTCTTGAAGAGTTCTTCATTCTTGAACCAGCTGCCGACTACAAAAGGTTAGAAGGGTTGCACGTTGGTCCGTGAATGAGTGCTTACGGATGAGATGAGTCCCGCCAAATGATGACGCCTCTAGAAAGCCTGTGACCGCCCGGAGAATGTACAGATGCCAGCTGTGTTTGATTTCAGACTGGCAGAAAGCGATAACAGCCCAAATGATCTGAAGTGAAGGGAGCAAGAAGGGAGCACTGCACTTAATTAGCTTCGGCGTCTGGAAGACTGTATCTTGAGAGGTTCGCACATCTTCGCTTTGGTCTGGAGCGTCATCAGCGGGATCTGTCCAATGACATAGGCCGTATTGTCTTATCAGATGTTAGCGTGAGCAGGCAATGAGACGAAAGGTTGTACAACTTACATGCCACGACGTAGTAATTCAGTTCATTGCCCCATGCGTTGAGGTCTTCCCGCATGCCCGAAACATACGCATTCGTGACATTTTGCTGTCCAAGGAACTGTTGCAAAGGCTGTTTAGACTCCATTATATCCAGGATTGACTTCCAAGCCACCTACTCTGCAGAAGAAACTCAAGCTTCCAAAGACTAAGATAGCCAAGTCCAACTTTCTCAGCAGCTTCCGCTCCGCGGCAGGATAGTGAGACGCTGGAAATTTTGTCAGGGTAACTTCAACAAGCAATCGGCACGAATGACTTACGGTACCAGTCAAACACTGACAATACCACAGCTCCCACCTTGTTCTTCTTTACCGCCCGAAGAATAGCCCCCATGTTGGTCGATGTGTGCCGGAATGATCTGCTGGAGAGTCCAAGAGGCACAGCACCTTCGGCGTTACAGCTTGCCCGACGTTTTATACGTACACCCAACTCTTTAAGGTAGGTTCCTACCCAGTTTTCGTTATGTGAGCATCTTTATAAAGCCCATTGCCACTTCAGTACCCTTGCAAACGCCCAGAATCAGCGGCCTGCAGTCCGCGATAAGCTTGCAGAGCTGCAGCTTTGCAGACCTCTCCTCTTGACTTCATCCGCCGAGACCCGACCAGTTGCAGCAAGCAGGCCTCTTCGCCCACTATTCGCCATTATGCCAGGAATGACGATTATGCTTCAACAAATCGGGGTGTCCAATGCTTCTGGGGAACGACGCGGGTTTGCGGAGACTGCACCATGCAAATAATCTCCGAAACGGTATGGGAGGCCAGCGTCCATCGAATCGTGAGCCGGACAAAGCATCATCCCGCCGAACTCGGTGTCGTTTTACCGGCGGGAGCACATCATACGGAGCTTGCTTACCGCGCACGCGGGGGTTTGGGGGGGTTGCTACGGTTATTTTCCGGCGCATCTACCGGCGAGGGAGACGACGTTGGCGGACCGGGGTTGGTTGTGGTGGGGATTGCGCCATCCGTTATCAAATGATGACATGCGACGATCTCGCATCTCCAACGGCCTCGGCCATATAACTTGGCCAATTTGCTTAGTGATGCCGCGGGGTAGACTGCAAGTGTGTGACCATGAAGATAATTGAGTCAAATCAACGTCGCGTTATTGGACGTGGAGGTCGTGTTGTGCGGAGTAAAGGCCGATGGAGGGTTCAGGGGGGCCGGACTGGACTTCCGGCGAGATGCCGTCCGGAGTCGCAACCAAGGTTAATAGTTAAAATGGCGAGCTCAGAACCCTTGGAGTCTGAAAAGTCTGAGCTTGCATCAGAGATCAGCCCGCCTTCTCAAGAAAAGACACCCCGTCTCACCGCCCGCCCAACATGCCTTCTGTTGTGTCTGAGTTGTACCAGTACTCCCACGTCCCCGAGACGGAGGAGAACCTCGATTGGGCTGACCGTAAGTCTTCATGATGAGCTTATGCAGCGAATGATTCACTGGTTTTCTGACGCAACCCAGTTCCCACCATTGACCTTGCCAAGTACGGAACACCAGAGGGCAACAAGGAACTTGCCCAGACTTTGATCGAGGCCATTCGCACCAAGGGATTCTTTTATGTCATCAACTACGGCATCTCACAACAAGAAGTGGACAAGCAGTTTGCTCTAGGCCAGAAGTTTTACGAGCTCCCTCTTGATGAGAAACTCAAGTATGAGCCGAACCTCGATTCCGGCGACTACAATGGATACCGTCCTGCAGGCAGGCGGTTCCTAAGCGGTGGCATCAAGGACAAGACCGAGGTTTGGAACATGGCGACCAAGGATGGTCACATTACTCAGCCTTTGCCCAAGCTTTTGGAGGAGCGTAAGGAAGAGATTGAGGGCTTTGCCAAGGTAAGATGGACGTCTGCTCATCCCCGGCCGCATGCTAATTCATAGTGAAAGGACTTGCATGACAAGGTTCTGGACCCCTTGAACCATCTCATCGCTCTTGCTCTCGAGCTTCCAGAAGACTTCTTTACGCGTGTTCACAAGTGGGATGTGCATGACGAGTCTCATCTGCGATACATGAAGTACTCCAAGTTCACGCCAGAGGAGATTGAGAAGCTCGATGACGGTCTTTGGTCTCGTGGTCACACCGATCTTGGCACCATCACCCTTCTTTTCCGCCAGCCAGTGGCAGCGCTGCAGATTAGGGATCACGAGACCGGCAACTGGAAGTGGGCAAAGCCTCTTGACGGCAGTCTGACTGTCAACACATGCGACGCCTTGAGTTTCCTGACTGGCGGTTACGTCAAGTCTACCGTTCACAGAGTAAGCTATCCACGATCACTTTGCACAATTGTCGTACTGACTCTTCGCGAAGGTATCTGTTCCCCCCAAGGACCAGCGCCATGTCGACCGCCTGGGTCTTCTGTACTTCGCCCGTCCCCAGAATGATCTCACGCTGAAGACCATTGACTCTCCGGTCTTGAAGCGCGAGGGCTTCACACAAAATGAGTTTGAGGCCGGCGGTCACAGAGTTCCAACGATGGGCGAGTTCACAACTCTGAAGCAAACATGGCAGCAGAGAAAGGGCGTCAGCTACCAGTCATCCGAAGGCCAAGAGATTTTGCCTGGTTTCAAGGGCCAGTACTTCCAATAGTTAGATGAACAGTGTTGTAAATGTAATAAAACACTTTGTTGGCCACTGATAGGCAGAAGAGCCGTATAACAACAAAAGCTCTCCGGTGCATCGTATCTACAAGCGCTATGTCGTCCATATTGCGTCCAAAGTAAGGAGAGAGAGGAAAACATCGATATCAAGATAGTTCTCCAAGTATATCAAATCTGACTGTCACCATTTGCCTGTTTCTGTACATTCTTTCGACAGGGTGCTTGTCTTCGTGCCTTAGCAAGACGCAACGATAGTCGCCGTGCCCGTCACTCCATCTAAGGGACCGTTGGTAATCGCAAGCTCGCATGATTTGCTGATGGTGTACTGAACGTACGGTCCTCCGCTCGGCAACCTGACGCCCGCACTCGCACTTCCCTGCGAGCAAGAACCAGCAGTGCCTCCATTGATCGAGTCTTCGAACTGGACGAGACAGCTGGCATTGGTCGTGCCATTTGCCGGAGCGGCATAGGCGAGAGCAGCGAAAAGAGCGGCGAAAATAAGGACGAATTGAGCCATTGCTGGAGATTCCTTGTTAGTATGAGATTGAAATTGAAACTAGGAGAGGATGTGCAAAACTATACATACTGGATGTTGTGAACGAGCCGAGGCCAATAGGATAGTAAACGACAGTAATGCCTCAATGCGTCAACGAGCGAATGTTTGGTGTTAGAAAGCTTAAAAGGGATGATCTTGGGATGAACCGTTTCTTGTTGTAGAGTTCGAAGTCTTAAATACTCTCCAATGGTCAAGAGCTAAGCTCAGTCAGTCGATTCATCGACAAGGGGCCCGCCAGCCTCTAACGGCGATCATGAGGCGTATCTTTTTAAGTTGAGAGTGGAATACTCCTATTTGAATCGAGTTGATTGAAAACCCCGGTCGTAATCCACTGTAAACACTAATATTAGGTTCGGTAGGCGATCATCTGGTATAAAGTCCAATGGTATGACTCGTCATGACATTTAGGGGCATCGATAGCATGACAACATATAGCTTGGCTCCCGCGTTTGCAATTCCTATTTCGCTGCGATAGGAAACTTCTTGTTGGGTATTCCAATGTCTGCGCTTCCCACAGCGAGCCACAGAAATGGTTACAGGACACGAACACCCGGCTATGGCACCAGACTGCATGCGACGTAACAAAGCATGGTGCATCATACACCGAGAAGCTCTGCATGAATAAACTGCATACAAAAACAGAACATGGGGCAAATCACATTAGATACAATCTAACAACATATCTAGCCTCCGATAACCAATACGATTAGACCTCAGCGGCCTGACCGGAGCCCTGATCCTTAGGACTGCGCCAAAACGGCCGCCTAGATCGCCAAGAACCACGACTACGCGATTCTACTTCAGTCTTAGAAGTATCAGATCCTTGTTCTCGTAGCCCTTCCTGCTCAGTGTACAGTGCGGAATTATGCACATTCTGTAGACTCCTCCTGCCTTGAGGCTTGTTTCCATTAGTGTCAGTGTTTCTCTGGTCGGTCTTCTGGTCTAGGTTCCTGTCCAGACGCTTTTTTCTTGAGTCTTTCACCTTGCCCTTGATCCTGTTGACTTCTTGCTCTAAGTTCTTGAGAAGATCGTCACTTTTCATAAACTTCTTATACTTGTCCCAAACCACAAGCCAGACATAGTAGGCTCCAGTATATACCAGGACCCAGGTCTCGAGCATCTTATAAGCTGACCAGAAGACAGTTCGCGGGAAGGTCCAAAAGGCGAAAATGATCGACACAGAAATTACAGCAGCCGAGATCGGGACTTCATGGGCGAATATCAGCACTTATTTTGAGCCGGGGAGGAATCAGGAATTGATACGTACACATGAAGTTCGCCTGATCGCCAAAGGTCATCTTGTCTGATCCGATGGTCGAGTTATTCATGCCGAAAACACTGGACATGAAAGATAACGGAAGCTTGGGGCAGTCAGTAGAGAACTTGAACATAGACATGATGAACGACGTACGAAAATGATTGTCACAATGGTGAAAATCATGATGGACCTGCCCTGCCGAACAGTCTCATCCGCTTGTTTAACCGACTGCCAAGCTTGCAAAATGCTAGCTTGCTGTTGCTTGAGGTCGAGCAGGTCTTTGATCTGTGGGTCTTTCATCAACATCTTCTCGCAACTACTTCGATGTACCCTTTTGGGTTGGCTTACCCCTCGAGCTGTGCTTTCAGCGCTCTTTCTAAGTCCTTCAAGTTCCAGGACTCTGTCGCCAACATCTGAGATCAAGTCATATGCTTATTTTCGAAACCAGATGAATTCTTGTCGTTCTCTTTCTCTGATTCGCTTAGCCTCCTTGATCTCCTTAGCCTCCTTTTCGTTACTTTCGTCCAGTTTCCTCTCTAGTGAGGATGCCCGAGACGACGCAGTCTTACGATAATCCCGATCAGCATCAGGGCTCCGTGAGTTATCTCTCCATTCTCCGCTTGAGTCGTAGATATTCTCAACATGTTTCGTGAATCGTTTGATGACTTCCTTCTGTTTATTATTGATATTGATCATAATGTCGAGTTCGTCGATGATGTCTTTAATCTCTCGTTGAAGCTTCCCTTCAGGATTGATGTTGAGAAGTGGCGGATGCAAGTGCGACGCGTCCTCGTATTTGAACTTGGAGACATACAACTGGGAGGCTCTCTTGGTCCAGTGCCATAGATGGTGAAAGGACACTGTCTGCAAATTGGTCTGTTGTTCTCTTAGTTTCTCACGCCTACTAAGTGTCAAAACGCTGGCACTCACCAAGTTTCCAATAGCGTCCCCAAATATATCCATGACCTGAGGGTGCCGATCCTGTGACCGAGTCAGATATCAATAGTCGAGAGTGGTAGGAATGGCTTACCGGGGTCTTGGTGCGATCAAAGAAGGTATTAGAGCACTCGTCCAGGATGATCAGCGCCACGTCAAAGACCGAACGGATCTGGTTCTTCCGAGCATTCTTGATTCGTGTCCGGATTGATTTGTGCACGCCTGAGGGATACTGCTTGTTCGCTCCGTACCGCTTGGGGAAGCTGGTAATGATCGTCTTTTTGTCGAGTATCCACATCCAAAGCTGGTCAACCATGACAACTCGAGAAACCTTGCGGATCTCACCACGGCAATGATCGCAACCGTTGGTGTCTGTTCCTATCCAGTGATCGTCCCATCTGAACGTGTCCGAAGTGTTGTCAGGGTCGCGATTGCGCTCGCAAAGATCATCCGTTTTATGATGCAGCAGTCTCTCCAGGGCCAAGTGTTTGCGAATCCATCCCTCTTCTTCAGTACAGTCTTTCTTGCCTAGCTCGCGGAAACGATGCATGTTTCTGTCGTCCATTGTGGTACCTCGATAGACGACTTGGTCTCGGTCGCGAGCCTTTGTTGTCTTCAAAGTCCAATAGTAGGATTGATCGAGTGTTCGCCGAGGATGCAGCGGAGGATCATGGTGAAGATACTTCTTCAGAAGCTGTTCATCCCTGTATATAGCAATGGCCTCGTAAAGCCTAGCAGCATCAAGTAGAAGCTGACCAAGTTTGCTTCTGGCCTTGATTTTCCCATGGCCGTCGGCTTTCAGCTTGGCCACGTACCATAGCTGTTGCTGCCCGTCTTCGTGCTTTTCATCCTTTGCTGGTCCGGTCCTATCAGCGAAACCTTTTGCGACCTCGGTAACAGTGCGATGGATCCCGGGAAGTGAAGCCATAGATGCTCTCTTCTTCAGTTCCTCCTGGATTCTACTCAAGTAGTTTGGATCTTCCGGGGGATGAGTGGGAGCCGTTCTCGTCGTTGTGAGAGGTTTTCCGGCAAAGGTTCGGAAGTCGACCCTATTCTTCTTCGCTTCTTTGGCCTCGTCATCCCGCTTGTTGCGATGCTTTGCGGTCTCTTCGTCGATTATTTTGGCGATCTTGTCACGCTTCCTGTCTTCTTCCCAGTGAAGATATGGCATCTAGGGCCATGTTAGGGTGTTTCACGGGTCTTCAATGGTCCAAAGGTTTCTTGACTCACGAAAAGCACGACGTTTCCTGGATTGTCTTCCGAATCCCAAATCTCTGTGCAATGGTTAGTAAATGATGTCGTTTGCGAGGGTCCAGCGGCCCAGCGGTGCTCACCAGATGACACCCGTTCACAAATCGCTCTCATGTGCCGCGCGTGGACCATACTCCGTCTCCCTCCGTGTTGTTGACCTCTCCAATACTCAGGTCGAAGGATCATATGACTTCTGGTCTTGACTGGGGGGGCTCGGTAAATGCGACCATGATCCGGCTTGCGATCACCGAAGTAGCGTGCTATGGCTTGCTTGATAAACGTCAGCATATGACGCATCTTGATAGAGCTGAAAGAGTCCTACTTCGATCCACTGGTAGAAACTGTCAGCATCTGTTTCGAACGAATGGACGGAATGAAAGAGATACACTTACTGCCATGTTGTTATGAGGGATGTGGATGTATCGCACCCGATCTGGATGGCCGTTCTTGTTGAGAACAATACTCTCATCCCCAGACTCTTCGCCTTCGTCTGCCTCTTCGGGGCCGTTCGACTCTGGTTTTCCGAAGTTTTTGCCAAGGAGGAATCTTAGAGACAGTCTCTGATCAGGGAATTTGCCTTTGAATCGGTAGTCATCCTTCCTGTCGGTTGGCTTGAGGTATCTCTCATCCGCAGAAAGCGATTTGTAGAAGGACTTGGAAGCATGGGACATGTACGAGTCCTTCGGAACTCCTAGACTTGGTCGTCGGAACTCCTCTCTCTGATCAAACTCCCGTTGTGGTTGAATATCTTCCGTCAGCTGCTCCGTGGTGGTTCTCGAGATTGCTGGCGTAGACTGCCTTCTCAATCCAGGACTGGGTCGGTTGAAGCTGGCCGATGCGGAAAGCTGGCCAGAGTCATTGCCTTCCGTCCCTTTCCGCTCAGGGTTGCAGATGTCCCATTCCATGATGTATCCATTGATGTCCCGCTCCAAATCGTATTTCTTTGCCTCGTCATCAGAACTTTCACCCGTGTTCTCACTGCTTCCTATGAGGTCCAGAACCTCACATCGGCCTAGATCTACTGTTCTTGGGTCCGGAGTAAAGGTGTCGGTAGGTCTGTTATTCGTCCTCTTCCATTCGCGTATATCCCGGATTCCTTTCTTGGTCGTTTTGTCACCCCTCCACTTGTCAAAACTTGCCGCCAGACACTTCACAAGATTGCAGTCCTCAGAATGGCCTCCATCCCTCTCGTGAGGACATTTGACACCCTCAAGAGCTCTGCGCAAAGTGTCTGTTCGTTTATACTGTGCCTCAATGGAAATGGCATGGCTGCGGATCTTCTTCTTGACATTCTCCTCGGCGCGGTCTCTGAAGTCCTGCTTCCTCTCATCGTTTCCATCTTGCTGGTTCAACTTCTGTATCTCAAGTTGGACTTCTTTGTCCCAGTAGGACTTGTTCCCACTACGAGACAGGAAGTTGGGACGTTCATGTATCTCAATGCAGCCAAAGTAATGTGCCAAAATGTCCCGGATGACTTCGGGCCCGTGGGGTTCCGCGGAGAGACAGGTCGGCGTTGTGTCGTGATCTCCCATGGTCTTCTATACGAAGGTGACGTATTGGCAACAGAATGTGAAGATGAAGTCGTGCCTTGCAGGCATCAGTTGCCCAGAATGCAAATCATTTATCTTGGCTGGTCGGGATTGATCTCAGTGGTCAAGTTGCGCATACGTGAAGCCAATTGCATGGGAACAGGGCAATTAAGAGACCGAACCTCGTTGGGGGCCACAACGAGGCTCGGAGCCAAATCGCGGTTTTGCTGCTCATCCTTCACTCATCCTTAACTATATTGGTCAATGGGTGGTCAGATTGAAGACACGGTGGTTGGCTCTTGTGAATCACAACCCAATCACAGCCTGCTTGTGGCTCTTCAGCTCCGGCAGGCTGCAGCAACATGCCTCGATCCCACCGTGATGGGCGGGGAAAGCTGTAAGCCGGGGTTCGATATCATAGGCGCGAGAATTTTTGGGGGCAATGTGGCAGATAAGAGGCGCTCAAAATGTCCGTCCTATTTAGCAATACGACAAGCAGCTAAGATTATGTGCGGTCGCACAGAGACCAGAGTACTGTACCCGACAACTCAGCCTCAGCTAACTAAGCTCAATTCGAACTTGATGGGCGATTATCCAGGACATACTTCCTTACTATTTCGCGAGATTGACGTCCGGAAGCCATTCTTGGCAACATCAGGCTGTGACGCTTCATGGAGTCTGCTGCAAGGGAGATGGAGTATTGGCAAAGGTGGGCTCATGGCTCTGCAGCCACCCCGGTCTGTGATCGCTTAACGAGGACATCTTTGCGAGAGGATCACCCATTAACGGCATCAAGTCCGCTAAGCGATCGCATCAGCTCCGAAGGCCGTAACCATGGCTGGCTTACCCCTCCCACCTCGTAGTTCTTCATTTCTGCGGGGCGACAGCCTGATCCAATGCTTGTTCTAACATCTTGGGATGGGGACCGGTTTAGGCAGAAGGATTAGCCTGCAGAGATACCGAGAGCGCCACAGGAGGACGATAAGACGAATGGATTCCAGGGTTTAGGGCTTGTTGTTGAAGAGAAAAACCCTGATTCTGGCGCAGCATGTGCGGTGAATTGGATTTGAATTCATGCAGTAGAGGGGTGAAGAAACCTGAGATGAAGCTCAATGTGTTTACGGCGGAGGGAACTCAAGGTCAGAATTGGGGCAGAAAGTCAACATCTAGAGATGGATTCAACCTGGCCGGTTGGCCCAATGGCAAGGCGTCTGACTACGATTTAATCGTGCAATCAGGAGATTCTGGGTTCGACCCCCAGGCTGGTCAATTCTTTTGCATTTTGGCGCAAGTAATTTGCAATTTTTGGTGCGATTTTTCTTTTTTCGTTGCGGGTCCGGCCTAAAATCGGGGCTGCCGGGACCAGGGCTTTTTTCTTTTTAGAGTTCCGGCCCGGGATTGATTGGCTGCTGATCGCCGTAGCACCGAAGAATGGCGGAATGCCGGGTCATCAAGTGCCGATTTCTGCTGCCGAATGCCAAAAAGTTGTCTAACTTACGGATGGCCGAAACTCAATAAACATAAGAGAACAATGGCGCAATGATAGCATCTGATGGACTTCATTCCATTGTCAACAGCCCCAGATTTAGTTACGTTAGTGTATGAGTAAATTACCTGGAGACGTCGATTATGGAAAGTCGGGGGCGGGTCCACGAGGTCCGGATGTATCGATGGCCCGGCCGGATAAGACTGACTAATAAGGTACTCATGCCCTGATCTTTAGTGACATTCCCATTGACTTTTCGTCTTCATTGTCATTATTCTCATCATTGCCCATGATCAGTCAACATGCTCAAAGAGACGAACAAACACACATATGCCCGGGCAACAATGCCGCCTCTGACTACGACGGCCATGAGAACATTGGACTGACGTCAAATGCTCCTCCGAAGCTCCCGTCCACCAAGCACGTAATCAAGGACCGAGCTCCCGCCTCCCGGGAGCTCTGGGAGCTAGACCCTGAAGCTTATTTCGACGATAACGGCCCCGCGATTCTCGGCCGCCGCGAGCTGTTCGGCTTCGGATCCAATCTGCCCCCTGGCGATGCGACCTTCAAGATTACCCCTCCAGAAACTCTAATAGATATCCAGCTATCTAATCGCCGCAACCTGGATTGAAACGACCGCACAACCAGTGCACGCTTAGTATGGAGAGCCAGTTTGATAAGGGTGGTTTTCAGATGACGAGTCATGAAACAGGGCATTCGGAAGTTTGTTGCCTTGTCGCAGGAGCTACGTCCGAAGTCGATGCCCCGCGATTTGAGGTTTGATGGGGGTATAAAGTAGCTCTAATACCTCCCAGCCCTCACGAGGACCTCTCCCTAGGAGCAGAAACATCACGAAACGGGTTTATCAGGTCTCGAGAACCATCATCCAAGATGCCACACCGCGTTCTCCTCACCGGCGCAAACGGCTTCATCGCCCAGCACATCCTCGCCCAGTTCCTCGAGGCAGGCCACTCCGTCCGCGCCGTCGTCCGCTCCCAGTCCTCCGCCGACCAGCTCAAAGCCACCTTCGCCGCCTATCCCTACCCGCAGCTCGACTTCGCCCTCGTGCCCGACATCGCGGCCCCGGGCGCCTTCGACGCCGCCCTCGCCTCCGACCCGCCCTTCGACCTCGTCCTGCACACCGCGTCCCCCTTCAACTTCCGCGCCGGCAAGTCCAACAAGGACTTCATCGACCCGGCCGTCAAGGGCACTACCGAGATCCTGCACGGCGTTCTCCGCAAGGGGAAATCCGTCAAGCGCGTCGTCATTACGAGCTCCATGGCCGCCGTCATCGACGGCGCCGCCCCGCCCGTGACCTCCCCGCCCAAGATCTACTCCGAGAAGGACTGGTTCAAGATCTCCCGCCACGAGGCCGAGACCACGGACAACCCCGTCATCCCCTACGTCTCCTCCAAGATGTTCGCGGAAAAGGCCGCCTGGGAGTTCCTCGTCGAGAAGCAGCCCCCCTTCGACATCGCGACCATCAATCCGCCCATGGTCTACGGGCCCATGCACGACGCGTCCTACCTGAAAGCCCCCGCGGAGCTGAACCAGAGCAACTTCAACCTGTACAGCTTCTTCCTAGGCCCAGAGCTGACGAAGGCGAGCCCCGTGCCGCCGGAGCAGTTGCACCTGTACGTCGATGTGCGAGACGTGGCGCGCGCGCATTTGTTGGCGGCGACGAAGCCGGCTGCCGGCGGGAACAGGTTTGTGGTGAGTCCTGGTGGGATCTCGCACCAGCAGGTCGCGAACTATTTCAGGGAGGCGCTGCCGGAGCTGGCGGGGAGGATACCGAAGGGCGACCCGGAGAAGACGGCGCTGCCGGAGGGCATCTTTGGGGTTGACTCGTCGTCGGCGAAGAGGCTTCTGGGTCTGGAGTATACGGATGAGAAGAAGACGTTCACGGACGTCGCGAAACAGTTTTATGAGATTGAGAAGCGGGCGACGGCGGCTTGAGAAGTGTTTCTAGGTTGTAACTTGCATGAGAACAAATGACAGCGTGATGATCCTTCTTCAGAGAGACAACCTTTCTTTCCTCAGGTGCTAGAGCGACTAAATTTCCTGTCTTATTACAGCCGTCGTCATCTAGACGCCTTTATCGTGTTATAGTTTGCTGCTCCCGGCTTTTGAAAACTGCAAGCTCTTGGTGTAGCTGTACGAAAGCAACCCCTGCTTGCCCATCTCTCCGCCGATGCCGCTCTCCTTCTGCCCCGCGAAGAAGCCGCCCGGGTGCGGCTGCTCGGGCATGTTGATCCACACGGTGCCGGCCTCGAGGGACCTCGCGATGCGTTCAGCGCGGCTGACGTCTCTGCAGTAGACCGAGGCGCCCAGGCCTGCGTTGCTGAGATTCGCTCGTTGGACGACGTCGTCCTCGGTGGACCACGAGAGGACGGGGATGATGGGGCCTTGGCGAGATGTTAGCTACTATTATATTGGCAGTGTATAAAGAGAGGTGGTGGGATTCTGAACTCTGTCAACTTACCAAACTGCTCTTCTCTCACGAGCATCGAGTCTTCCGGGGGCTTGACCACAATAGTCGGCGGCACCCAGAGCCCCTTCCCATCCAGTGGATTTTCCGCCGCGACGACTTTATACCCATTCTTCTCACAATCCCTTACAATTTCCTGCACCACCTCATACTGCACCTTATTCGACACCGGCCCAAACAAACTCGGCGCTGCCGCGTCCCCATTCACCGCAAACGCCTTCTGTACCTCCTTCGTAAACGCCTCCAAGAACAGCTCATACACGCTCTCGTGAACATACACCCGCTTCGTCGCCACACACATCTGCCCCGCGTTGAAAAAGCACCCCGTAGCCACCTTTCCCGCGGTCTCCGCCACGTCCACGTCCTCGGTAACCACACACGCATCGTTCCCCGCAAGCTCAAGCGTCAGCCTCTTCAGCGTCCTCGCGCAGCTCTCCATCACGCGCTTCCCCGTCGCCACCGTGCCCGTGAAGCTGATCTTGGCGATGCCCGGGTGGGATGTCATCGCGGCGCCGAGGTCCGCGCCGCCGTTGAGGACCTGCACGACGCCGGGGGGCAGGATCGGGATAAGCAGCTCGACGGACTTGAGGACGGAGTAGGGCGTGAAGGGGGAGGGCTTGACGATGACGCAGTTGCCCGTGATAAGGGAGGACACGATTTTGATGTTGGAGAGGATGAGGGGGAAGTTCCAGGGGCAGATTGCGCCGACGACGCCAAGGGGCGTGTGTGTTGCGACAATCTTGAGGGAGTCGTCTTCGAAGGTGACTTCGTCTTCGAGGTGGACCTTTGCTAAGAGGTTGTGAGGATATGGGAGGTGTGAGGGGGTTAGATGGGTACGTACTGTAGTAGAGAGTCTGTTGGCAGGTGTTTCCGATTTCTATTTCGGCCATGAGAGTCTGGATGATTGTTAAGCAGGTCGCCGGTATGCTCATATTGAGGCATCTCACTGATTTTCCAGTTTCCTTCATGACAATCTCCATGAGCTCCTGCTTATTCGCTGTAAAGACCTCGACGATCTTGCGCAGATAC